AAATATGTTTAAATATATAATTAATATGTAGAAAATTATTTAAAATATTAAATTTAAATTATTTGAAATGTTAAAATTATTTAAAATAGACATATGCTTAACGATAAATATATGTTAAATAATATAAGATATTAACAAAATAGAATTTTTGCAAAATATTAATAATTTTATTATTTATTATATTTTTATTTACTATATATTTATAATTATAATTATTTTATTATAATTTGCATTATAATATACAATAAACATTTTTTTCAATGATAAATTAATATCATTCATCTAAAAATATTAATTTGCAGACTGAAAGTGATTATTTTATATTACAAAAAATAATAATTAAATTGCGGATTTTCATATATTTATGGAAATTTTAAATGAATAAAAATATATATAATACACATGTGATACAAAACATTCAAAGTAAAGTATATATTATCATTGGTGAAACATATCTTTATTTAAGTTCCATTTTCATAATCAAGAAGATCTCAATTTATAATAAACATCCGTAGTTCAGTAATAATTGGATTTTTTTTTTCGTCTTTATTATTTAAACATAATATTTTTATTCAAAATATGATTCTTTATACTATTTAACTATCATACGAAAAAAATATATTTATTTATTAAGATATATAAAATATAAATATATATATATATATATATATATATANCAAAATTTATAATAAAAAAATAACAATGTTTCTCATTTTGTTTCAAAATCATAAAAAAATGGAAAAAGTAAAAGAATCAAAGATATCTTTCTCTCAAAATACAAGAGACCACATTTTTCTTCTATTTTGATTTTCAGTAAAGGAAAACATGATAGCCTGTGCAATATACCGTAAGATCGTTTAATTCGTAGGTGTTTCCAAGTTGCTTTCTTGATGGTGGTTATACAGACTTATCTGGTAGAACCGGTCTAAAGTATTGCTATGCTAGAGTTACCACTCTCGTCCAAACGAACGAATAGTTTCAAATTGAAGAAAATAAATAAAATCAAACATCCAATTGAAAACTTACAATTTAAAAATCTATGGTACTCGATGAATTTTCTGATTGCCTTCGAATATCTTCTATAATTAAAAAAATGGTGCAATATCTTTGATTCAATTAAAACATGATTAATTTTTTTAACATATGGAATGAAATTGAAATGAATTAATGATGAATTGTTAATTGGTACAATAAATTTTAAATAAAAAAATTTTATTAACAATAGAAAAGGGAATTATTTTTGTCAATTGTTTAAGGTGTATTTAATCTTTAAATATTTATATATCCGAAAATTATATATATCTAATTTTTTTATATTAATTATAAATATAAATTATTTAACGTTCTATTACAATTGTTGAATAAATATAATATTATTCCTTTTAAAATCACATTATGCATTTGCATTAAGCAATTTTTGATCGATCAAATAAATAGATCAAACTCGAATCGTTTTACAATGTAAATTAAATTTCAATTAGATAAAATAAACGATTGAAATTGTGTAACTTAGCTAATGTAAATCCAGTATAAAAGAAAATTAGTCAGAAATTTCATTGCTAATCCTTATTAAAAAAAAAAATTTTTTTAATTTTTAAATCATGAATAAAAGAAGTTATATAGATGCAGTCAATTTTTGCAAAAAGAAAGTTAATTATTAATTCGAGACTGAATTTGACATACTTTCGAAATGAGAGTTGTACCAATGTAACGTGACATTGACATGACCTAAAAAATTTAACAATTAATTATAATTAAAAATTTATAATAATTTATAATATTTTAACTCTCCGTAAATCTTGCGTTACAAGAATTTCGTCGAAGATTGTCGAGGATTGGAATTCTAAGTGAATTCTAAAAAAAAAAAAAAAAGGTTTGATGAAATGTCTGGTTTGAAAATGTGTTATCTCCCGCTTTTAGATAACGAGCTGTCAAATGGTTCTAAAGTAGCTCTTCAAGGTATTCTGCGTGAAACCCTTCTAAGACTTTTGACTAGCTCTTCGAACAAGTTCCGTGAGCTTCTTGTTATATCTTTTTACATATGAATTTTAATAATTTCAAATTATCCAAATTTTTGATTAAAATCATCTATAATATGACTTGCACTTATATATAATCTAATATATCTATATATATATATATATCTATATCTATATATATATATCTATATCTATATATATATAATATATCTATATATAATCTACAGATTATGTTAATCATCTCGATATTTCAAGCGACTTATATGTTTTTTCATACGATAAAATAATATATATATATAAACCGAATCAATTGTAAAGATCTGCAAAAACATTCGCGCGTGAAAAAATTCCCCAAATCACTTGAGGCGAGGAAAGCCAGTGTTTCTATGTACTAGAGAAACTAAAAACCATTAAGACAGCAAAAGATCTCGTGCCTTTTCTCGTATCGTATAACTGCAGCGTATCGAGCTGCGGTATCGTGCATTTATATCGGAATTTACGTTCGCATTTGCCTGACTGCTGGTGAAACCGAAAGTATTCCTCTGTGATCGAGCTTAGAAATGAAAGTGTCGTATGATCACTCTGTAAATTGGTGAAATTCGTATGGTTGATTGTTTTTCTTCTTTTATATGAATTTTAAATTATTGTTGGATAATTATTTCTTAATTAAAAATTAGAAGAATGTAAATAAGATTATTTATTATTGAATAATATATTTTTTTTGCTTAGATTGAATCTTAACTTTTCAGAGTATTAAAACATACGTATTCGACATAAACATGACATGTTTTCAAATTTTTTGAGGATAAATCCATGATTTGTTAGAGATGTTTCTATTCTATTTTAACATTTTCTTTTTTCTTGGATAAGTAGCCGATGATTTTTGTATCTTGGGCTGCGATTTTTTTCTTAAATGATAATAATTAAATTTCGTACAGAATTGTACGAAAATTATATATATATCATTGATGTTATACATAACAATTCTCTTTATTTGATTATTCAAATAATTGATTGATTGATCAGAGAATGAATTTATATATTTTTAAATTAGCGTATTTAACATATTTTCTGGAATTTAAAAATTTTTTTTCTCAATAATAAACATTTTTATTTAAAAATTATTTAATTTTTAATCTGCATAAATTTGTTTCCCAATTAGTTCTATTGTATAAAAAGAAAACGCACAGGATTGTATAATAATTTTACAAAAAAAAAAGATTAGAAAATAATAAATTTAATGAAATATTAGATATTTCGTTGTATTTTATTTCAAGTTTAATTTTGTTCTACATTTGTTATACATGACTCATCATTTGAATATTTATAGTTGAATGTCATTTCCATTTTTTATTCAAGATTACTGGAATAAAAGATATTTCTCACATAATTTTATT